ATGGCGCAATGTGTATACAGATTAATATGTACTGTGACGGATGCTTGGAAGGGCAGGTCATGGACTCTGCGCCTGAACACAACTTTATTCACTAGGGTTCAGTGAGAACAATGAAACAAGCAATCATAGAAGGTAAACCAGGTTTGAAAATGTACAAAACAGAGAACCCTAAATGTAAAACCCATTCTATTTATACAAAAGCATTCATATTCAGTTGCATTTACAAAAATGTCATTAAAGGCAGCAAATTATTCATTTTAGACTGTCAACTGATAGATCGATTTATCAATCATTATTCTCAAATCCCTGTATTTGCTGTTGTACAAATAACAATGACATTGCTGGAAATGTGGCTTGTTGGTTCAATTTTACAAAGAACAGGACTACCCATGGGGGTATGTAAAGAGATATGTTATCTATGAGCTCTTCAATAAGGGTTGGCTAGAGTTACACCTGCTCAGGTGAGTATGGGTAAAAGGCTGTTAATATTGCAGGAGTAGAGGGAAAGAAAAGAAGTGGAACAGGTGTAGGTTGCATTACCTTTCTCTGATTACAGTGGGGTTCATGAGGTTTGAGTGAACTCCTTTTGCAAACATGACACATTCTTTCTTATGCCATTTGTTTAGCCGTTCGTGGCTAAACCACAGTTCAACAGTTAATCAGGCACACTTGTTGAGTTGGGATATAGTTTATTACTAGGTTAAAAACAACTGTCTTGAAACTCAATATGCATTACTGTTCCTTTAGGTATTTTTTAACCTAAACATTTGAAAAAATGTTTCTTTCCTTGTAGATCGATATTATTCTTTGTAGAAATTTTTTTGAACACTGCATAACACAATGTAGTTAGAAAAGTAAATATCATCCACACAGTGGGGGAAAAACAAACAAACAAACAAAAAAAACAGCAACAAAAAATATATTAGCACCTTTCTTTTTTAGAAGCTTTCTTATATGCAACTACTGCACAAGCAAAATTGCTTGGAATTAAGAATTTACTATTGGTAATTGTCATTATTGTATGACAACACCAGCTATTTGAATTGTAGGATACATAACTTTGAGGTTGTGGTGGTAATTTCTGGGTCAGTGTATGACCTGTGCAAGCTTTTCAAGCCATTTTGCCAGTTGACTTTCAAGTCCCTTCAACATGATGAGCCATTGCAGGCTACTATGATCAGTGTGCACAATGATTGGCCTTCCCAAAAGGCCAAAATGGTGTGCTCCAAAAGCTGCTTTGCATGGCCAAACCCCCTAAGCACACCACGGGAGCACAGCCCATAGCAGACATTCCAATATATTCCTCTGGTAATCATGCTAATTATTATATACTTGGGACAGGGGCAACAAAGGGCTGATAAAGTTGTGTAATGCTAAAAAAAAACATCTAGTGGTTAATTGGCAACAGGTCAGTAACATAATTGAGTATAAAAAGAACATCCCAGAGAGGCTGAGTCTTTCAGAAGTAAAGATGAGGAAGGGTTCCCCACTCCGTGAAAGACTCCACGATCAAACAGTGCAACAATTCAAGAATAACGTTTATCAACATAAAATAGCAAAGAACTTTTGCTTTTCATCATCTACAGTACATAATATCATTAAAAGATTTAGAGAACCTGGAGAAATCTCTTTATGCAAGGGACAAGGCCAAAAACCAGTATTTGCTGGCAATGATCTTTGGTCCCTCAGGTGGCACTGCATTAAAAACAGACATGATTCTTTAGTGGAAATCACTGCATGGGCTCAGAAACACTTCTAAAAACCAGTGTCTGTGAAAACAATTCATCACTGCATCCACAAATGCAAGTTAAAAGGAAATGCTATTGCCATCTCTGGCCCTGAGCTCATTTAAAATGGACTGAGGTGAGGTGGAAAAGTGTCCTGTGGTCCGACAAATCAAAATTTTTAATTCTTTTTGGACATCATGGACACTGTGTCCTCCGAGCTAAAGATCACTCAGCTTGTTATCAGTGCACAGTTCAAAAGCCAGTATTCACGATGGTATAAGAGTGCATTAGTGTGCGTGGCATGGGTGACGTGCACATCTGTGAAGGCACCATTAATGCTGAACGATACGCACATGTTTTGGCAACATATGCTGCCATCCAGACATCTTTTTCAGGGAAGGCCTTGTTTATTTCAGCAAGACAATGCCAAACCACATTCTGCCAATATTACAGCAGCATTGCTCCGTATTAAAAGAGTCTGCTAAACTGGCCTGTCTGCAGTCCAGAACTGTCACCCACTGAAAACATTTGGTGCATCATGAAATGAAAAATATGACCAAGGAAACCCTAAACTGTTGAGCAGCTGAAATTCTATATCAAACAAGAAAGGGAAAATGTCTCACTTTCAAAACTACAGCAGTTGGTCTCCTCAGTTCCCAAATGCTTACAGAGTGTTGTTAAAAGAAAAGGTGATGAAACACAGTGGTAAACATGCCCCCGTCCCAACTTTTTTGGAAAGTGTTATTGGCATCAAATTCAAAATGGGCATACATTTTTCAAAAAACAAGAAACTTTCTCAGTTTCAACATTTGAAATGTTGTCTTTGTAGTATTTTCCTTTAAAAATATGGTTTACATGATTTACAGATCATTGCATTCTATTTTTATTTACATTCTGCCCAGCGTCCAAACTTTTTTGGAAATGGGGTTGTGCTTGCCAATATCAATACTGACACCATAATGAGTAACCCACTTCAAATGAAGTAGTCCTTGGTGTGAATGAGTGCTAAGTACCTTATAACTGTTAAATCATTCAAATTTAGCTGATTGTAAATGACATGCATTAGCTCGCTATGCTGTATTAGTTACTTTGAATTGAGTAGCATTGTAGTGGAGAAAAGTGGGTTTCGTTCCGCATCAGAAAACTGCTTTTGTACAGCTGTAAGTAAAGCATGTTTCATAGTTTTGATCCTACACTCCTCATCTGTCTTTTTCGACAACAGCCATGACTCATATCTGAGGCTTTTGCTCAGATATGAAGAGCCCACTGGTCAAGTTTTATGTCTTGTCCTCTAAAGCCAGGTATGCGCTGTGCGATTTTATCACTGTACGTTTTAATACAACATTCAAACGTTCATTCTCACACGAAAATGTGTGGTCTGATTGACATGCTATGTGAAACGCAGTCCCTATAGATGCAGAGAAACTGTGCTACAGCAGCTTTACTAACTTGTACCACACTATGCAATGAAACTAAAATCAGGTTGTGTTACATGGTAGGACAATGCTGTCTTTCTACAGCTCATTTTCCAAACACAGTTTTAAAAAATCAACATATGAACGTTTATACTATGAAATTCTATTCAGTCAAATAAAGTAAAATTGGTATACAGACATTGGTACTGCAAAATTTAGTTTTTTGCTTACATGTGTCCACTCATATTGGGTAAGTGGTTGCGACTGTGTAAGTGTGCACTTAAAACAGGCTAAAATTGCCCAGGTATGCCTGGCGGGAATATGCCAAGGCGGAATGTTTCAAGTGACCAACAAATTTGTGCCAGACTGCCACGGCGTCAGCAACAATTCGCTGTGCAAGCAGACCCCCATTCACGGACAGCTTGAGTTGCTTGCTAATTAGAGTAGTAGCGTACACTAAGTTTGTGTAAATGAGCATGGCATCGGACCGATACCTGATATCAGTATAGGTATCGATTCATCCCTATTTATTAGTTTCAAGAGGACAGCAAATAGCAAGTGCTGTTATTTTAGCTGTACAATTGGCTTGCTTGTTTCATTTTGTTTGTTCATTCAGTTTGTTTTATCTAGTAATATGAACAAATAAGGAACCAAAAAAGAAAAAGAGAATCCCATATCAGCTGAAGAGGTATTTAGACTTTAATGAAATAAAATCAGCTCAAACCCAGGGCAGGTGTTGAACGACCAGAGATGTATTTACAAGCAAATTACAGCAGATTTAAAGGGTAGCTGGAAAGATCATTCCATACAAATGAATAAGAGAAACTCCTGCCAGTACGCTACTGTTGGTTCTCTTTAAAAGAGTAAAAAAGATGGATTCATATTACAGGCAGGAAGAAGAAGAAGATACATCAGCCACATCTGCCACATCCGCAGATCTGGGAATCTGAGATCTTTTTTTTTTTCTTAATTGCAGCTGTCACCACAATAAACGGTGCAATTTATAGTCGTCAAAAAATTATAAACTGCAGAGAGATGCTACTGCTCAAGCTGCAGAGAAAGGAGTATTTATAGTGGGAGAAAGATGAAGTAGAGGATATCGTCCCAACACGTACATATCAATAAACATATATTTCACAGTAATAATTGAAGGGTACTCTTGATTATTGACAGGAAAGTGGTGGTACATAAGGGCTCATGGGGACAATGATAATAATAATAATAAAAATAATAAAACTATACAGTTTGAAGTTCACTGAGTTGCGCTAATATCTGGGAGTGAACCGACAGCATGAGGAGTCTTTTGGAGGTTGGACTGCTTGCAAAGTGATGGGTTAGCAGTTGATGGTTGCATTTGATCACTCTTTCTCTTCGATCTGGTTTCAGGCAGTGTGAGAGACACCTCCCCAAAGTGCTCCTGACAACAAAAACAAGGCTGCCCATTAGCTCACAGGCCCTGAGTCTTGTCTTAGAACTCCTTTGTGTGTATGTGAGTTAGTGTGTCCATTCCACTTTTAATCTATTTAAACATCTGTACGTGTGTGTGTGTATGGGGGAGAAAGAGAGAGACAAGAGTTGACACGTTCTGACTGGTAGTCTGATGAAAGACGGCATTAGGCTGCGATAGATGCAGTAGGCAGGTGCTGGCAGGTGGCATGGCAAATCCCCTGCATGGCAGAGATAAACAGTAAAATCCTCCAGACTTTGGTTCGTTTTGCCTGTAATTTGTTGATGCAGTGTGTGTTTGTGTATGTGTATGTTTCATACATCTTCATACATCTCACATTTTACAGTTGTATGCAAAATCTTTAAAATTCCTGGCCAAATTACATGTTTTGAAAATAAGTGAAAACAAGTGAAAATAAGCTAACACATCCTCTACAGAGAACAAACTTAACTGTGGCATTTTTCTACAAAGCTAAGCACAACACTTTCTATATATTTGCTGAGTTTAAACTTATTGGAATAAAACAAAACATAAAATATAAGATGTGCAATAGTATTTGCATAGGCCACATTTTATGTTTCATTTCTTCCCAATACATTAAACTCAGCAATTAAGCAGTAATTGTGCATTAAAATGTGCAGTAGTGTGTTCTCTGTAAAGGATGTCAGTAGGCCTATCAATACTGATAGGATGTGTGAACTTATTTTCATTTAGAAAATGCATGTCACTTGACCAGGCATGCCCAAACTTTTGCATATAACTGTATAAACAGTACTGTGCAAAAGTCCTAGGTACCAAAGCACATTGTTTTAAAACCATGTATCTTGGCAGCAAGAGTGTTTGTGCCTGTAAAGGCACCGTATTTCATTAACATAGATGCAAATACACATTAATAGAGTATCAAGGATTTCTTATTTTGAGAAAAGTAGTTGATTTTGTGTGCTAGTTAGAAAAACAAAGTTTGCTTCCAGATTTCTCCTGGTTGCCCCAACAGCTCACATGGATTTGTTAAATTCCATCACTACCACACTAGATATTGGATATTAACAACAATTAATACTGGGCTCCCACAAGGAGAGGTTTGGAAATTGTTAAACGAACACATTGGCATATGTAAAATTACAACTTATTGTATTAATGTTAATTTGTATTGATTATAATATTAGTTTTTTTTTCTGAGCAAATAAACACTTACCCAGATAAACAGATTTTTTATTTAAAATTTTCTCAGGTGCCTAAAACTTTTGTACTGTATGTCTGTGTTTGTATGTGAATGTGAGTGTTATTTCACTAGGTAATCCGCAGAATTCAGAGCCATCTGAAGGGTTAATCCAGTGCATCGTTGCTGATGAGCTTCAGAGAGAAAAAAAAGGTGTCTATAATCCATTACCATAGCACTACAGTTCCCACGTCCACCCACACACGCACAAAAAATGGCCACTAGTACAGTTTTAGTCTTCGCAAGTGGTAAACTGCAGTTGCTTGCAAGACATCTGGGTTGCCACAGAGCCTACAGAAAAAAACAAAACAAAATGGAATTTTTCACTTAAATTGACACTATCATTACGTTATATCAGCAAATCACTTAAACTGACAAATTAATGAGGGTATTCTGATTTATACCAAAAACTGACAAACAATGATTCAATATCAGTAGGCATGTCATGGTCATGAAATTATAGCTGCCACTTAATTGCCATATAAATAACTGCAATTAACAATTGAATTGTCTTTTTTGTTGATTGCATGCAAATATTAAAGTATAAGTCAAATTGGCTGATTAGCTACTTTGCTTCCTAGCTGTTGATACTTAGTAGATTCCAGCTGAAGACAGATACAGATCGAGTTAAAATAGACAAACATTGTTGCAGCCTTTTAAAGGTGTATTAGCACTAGGCAGAAGGTAGAATTTTTGTTATTTTCATAAGACCCATAGAGTCTCAATAAATGTGTTTTATTTTTTTTTAATTTTATTTATTTATTTGCCTCAGCCCAATAAATAAAACCACAACCAATTCACATTCTATTTGTTGTAACAAAAACAAATGATTATGAATGCTAAGAACTGTGGAGAATAATTAGCTTAAACACAGTTAGCTTAAAAGATTGTGACAAAATCAGATCAGGTGAATATTTAATAACTGTGACAGGTCAAAATATCAGTTCAGGGTACAAGGATGGGTCAAAGCTTACCACTTATACATCAGCAAAAAATTCAACAGCTTAAGAATAACATTCCTCAATGAGCAAACCACAACTTAATGTCCAAGATATTTAACCCCTTAGACAGTACAGCAATAAAAACAGACATGCTTCTGTGATGGATAACACAGCATGGGCACGGGAATACTCTGGTAAATCGTTGTCAGCAAATGCCATGTGGTATTGCATCCACAAATGCAAGTTAGGACTACTATGCAAAGCGGTAGTCATATGTCAACATATCTAGAAATGCTGTTGACTATTCACAAGCCAACCTTTCAAATTGTTTATGGAAATAATGGACATTAAAGTAAAAAGTGCAAAAGCCAGGCTCTGTTATGGTAGTGGGGGAATTAGTGGGTAATTTGCACATCTGTGAAGGCACCATTAATGTTGAACACATTTTGGAGGAACATATGCTGCAATCTAGACAACATCTTTTTTTAAGAGACGCCTGTGCTTATTTTATTATGACAATGCCAAGCCATAATCTACATATGTTACAAAAGCATAGGTGCATAATCAGAGAACGCAGGTGCTTTTCTCTGAGTTTTGCAGTTCAGCAGAGTTACATCCACACCTAATTTATTTTGTCTTGTGCAATATTCATTTGCCCTTACCATATTAATGTTGAATGCTATTACTACTACTACCAATAATAATACTACAAATGTACATAATATCATTATGTAATCATAATCACCATAACTATTTAATCAGTAAAGAAAATATGACACTTCAGGTCATATTTATCGGCATTTGTCTTTTATCATAGTTTATTAAAATGAAATGCAATCATTAACACACAAAACAATATAGGCTTCAATGTCATTTTGTAAAATATTTTTTGTAGTGTAATTTGCTTATTAACAATTTCAGTGATTTGAAACATGCAAAAACTAGAAATGGGTTGATATATGAATTCACCACATTGGATTCTTACCATGAATAGTGGGGCAAGAATCCCCCAAGATTATTACTATTTTTAACAAGACTGTATTTTTGTGCAATAACAGCACTTGACCACTGTTCCAGTTTATTTCCTCCAACTCTGTTTTGGTCAACGCTGTGTATTTGTGTCATTCTGTATATACTAAACTCATGCGTTCATAGTTTAGCTTTAGACATTGTTTTTAAGCTTTTTCACTTCAAGTTCCAAAAGCTAGCAGTGATGTAAGAAATTCTGGGAAATAAGAAAACAGAATCAAAACATTATGAAAGAGTATTCCAGTATTCTGTCCTTTGGCAAAAAGCACAAGACAGGGGACAACAGCTCAGAGGACAAGCTATCCATTCCACACTCACCTCTGCAGCAAGAGATGTCACAGACATCAAGGCCAAAGGATAAAAGCGAGAGAAAAGAATAAAAACAGAAATAAAAACTGTAGGAAATAAACAACATGAAGGAAGAGGAAAGAGGACAGAAAGAAACAAGCGTTAATCAAAGTGATGGGATTTGACAGAAAAAAACCTGCAGGCTTACAAACAAAAACATGCATCAAGAAAGAGGGCAATATTACATACTATATCTATACAGCAATTTCTCTGGAGGGATATGCTGTCAGATAATTTATCTGACATTTAGTAATTTATTTTTATAGCAATTCTAGTAACTTATTTAGTAATTTTTATAGCGATTTCTAGCTGTTATATTTTACATGGGTCCTTTCATGAAGAATGAAAACCCAAACCATTAAGTATGATATGCATCAGATCACAGCTTAAGCATACAAGATCATGTATGAGGCCACTCATTTCAGTAAATGGTCTTGTACACTGTGTAGAAAAGTGTACAGAAGCATTTAAAAGATTACTTCACCCAGGAATACTACCATGGCTAGCAAAACTAAAGCTAACTGCCCCTATTATAATTTACATAATAACAACAGGCTCCTTCCAGTTTTCATTCATTATTAGCAATATTAACAATGAGTGAAAGTTTCTTTTAACCAGTGGAAAAAGAGACAACCAAACAAAGCTGGAAACTTTGTGAGTCATCTCACCTTCTCCTCCAGATCCTTAATCTGCCTTCTCTGGATGTCTGTTTTATCCTCCAAGTCTCTTATTCTCTATAAGTAGAAAAAAATATAATAGTCTACTTCTTTAGTGTTTCTTTAATCTACATTAAATATGTGCTGGAAATCATCACGTGTGGTTCATGTATTGAGTGTTTGGCATTATAGCTAAGTAGATTCAACACAACATGCATAAATTAAACACTCAGGAAAGTTTATTTGTGGGGAAACAGCTTGTTCATGTAGAACATATTTTGTATCTTTACCATTCAAAATTTTGGAATCACTTGTCATAGTATTAACTGCTGTTAGTTCAGTAATATTCAGTATTCAGTAATGAGTTATACAGTGTATACTCAAATACTATAAGCTAGACACTAGAAGGTATTTTAAGAAAATCTTTTGGAACATCAAAGTTATTAATTTATAGTATATTATGTATCATTTATCTACTTGCAGTTACTTCTTGATAAGTTATTTTCATGGAGAACTGATCAGCACTGTTCAAATACAAAACATTCTGGGTGTTATACAGCTTTCTCTGTCTTAATTTTTTTTACTTCATCAGCTTCAGACAAATTAGTTAAGACCTATGAAGTGGTAGCATCTTAATAGAATTATTTTCATAATTGGTTTTCAACAAATTTGTTTTTATATGAATAAAAACAGTGATTCCAAACTTTTGAACGTTAGTATATGTTCAGTTAAAGGATCGTATTAGGATTGTATTAAAGTCGTTTTCTTATATATATATATATATATATATATATATATATATATATATATATATGCAGTCAGAGAAAATTACAACAGAAAAACATGCCTTTCATGCTGTATAATATGATTTACACAATGTTTATAAAAACTGGTGACTTTTTTTGGTGAATTAATTCAAGGGACAAACATAATGGGTAATGTCTCATAATGGGTAATATCAATCACAACTGAAACATCATAAAGTAACCAAATATTGATGTATAGAAGTTATTACAGCCATTAATGCAGTAGGTACCTGTTGGGCCTGATGGAGGAGTTCCATTCTCTCCTGCAGCACCTGGCAGTCATACTCACGACTCTTCCTCAGCATCTGCCGCCGTAGCTTCTCCACAGCTGTTCGCAGCTCATCCCTCTGCAGCTCACTCAGTGGCTCACCATACTTTATTACCTTATCTTGCTGGAGTGCATTGTACAGTGTTGCTTCTAGCTCTTGGATTTGCTGTTTGAAGATACATACACACATGGAACAGTGCTGCACCTGATTATATGACTTTTTGGCTGTTCAGATGTATTATCAAAACCTACCATGTAAGCCTGATCCAAAGCCTGCTTCCTGTAGTCAAGCTCCTCCTCCAAATACCCTTTTTGCTTACAGAACATCTCCTGTAGATGACAGAGCAGACATTCAACCACAATTCTGATGCACAACAAAACAGTTATAAATCCAAATTACAGTGACATTACACCAGCAAAACAATCTTATAAATAAATGAAAGGATGGCAGCATGTCCAGAAGTACTACGCCAACACACAAGATATTTCAAATAGCTAAAAACACTTCAAACTGTAGCAAAACAACATAATTACCTAAGTAAACCAAATTATACATAGATTAAATATAAAATCTACTAATTCATCCCAGTCAAATTTTAATTTTTCTGTATAATTTAACTCTGTAAGGCAAAAATACTTGTGTAAGCCTCTTTCAGAACTTAAGTTTATGAGGCAGTTATAAAATATGAATTAAAATTAATTTCATAAAAATAAAAAAGTCTGATTGACAAGTCGACAGTACCATCTCCAGCTCCAAGTCCATCATCTTCTGATGGAGTGCTGCTTCTGTGCCCTCAATCTGCTGGATCCACTAGAGGGCAATAAAGACAAGGACACAGACTAAAAAGTTGCTGACTGGCTGATTACAGTTACTGTTTTTATTTAGTAACTACTAAAAAATAATTTATTACTAGTACTGTAATGAAGTGATATGCATCAGCAAACATGCATCTAATTTACTAGCTTCTAAATGCCTTAAACAAAACTCGAGCAACTTATAAAGATGCAATGACATTAACAAATGTTTTTCAATCCAATGGTGAGCCTATATTTTGCTCCATTGTTGTGCGCAGAGCAGATGACTATTTGCACTGTCCACCTGAACAGAAAAATGATGCACTGAACAGCACATGGACATGTGGATAGCAAATCAGACTGGAACAGAAACAAAATTCTGATGCTTATGGTCAGCTTAGTGCACAATAAATATCATGTGATCCATGTACCTCTATGGGCGCAGTGTCTGAGACCGAGACTATATAAAAGGTGATGCTAAACTAGACAACAATTAGAATGCAGTCTAAAAATCAAATTAATTCAAGATGCAGGCATATACAGCTACTCTTACAGCTGAACTTTTACTTGAAAATGAACAGAGTATGAAGCTGAAAAACATGACCATTGAGATCTTTACCTTCTCAGCTAGAGACAGGACAGTGCTTGCTTGAATGATGGCCACTTGTTCTTCATTCCTTAAATTCTGTGGGAGCCATGAGAATATATTCATATTGTTAATATGTTAATATTCAGACATCATATTAAATAAAAGCAGGTATTTAATTAAAGACTCACCCCGTTATCTCCTAGAATATCTAACAGTTTGATGAGATCAGGTATACACACGTCCTGTGTAGGAGAAAATAGAAATATTTAAGACCATGCACCATCAACCAAGAACACCAAAAGCAGGATTGTACAGGATCATCTTCAGCTCCTGAATTTGCTGTTTTGAGAATGTTACCAAAGCCTACCAATATAAAATACCTAAAGCAATGTCTTACAAGAATTGTAGTATAGCAACAGCTATTCGTTTACCTTTACTCCTTCCTTTATACAGTAGATCTGGAGCGCACTCACTCCCTCAGAGAAAGGGTGGATCGTAAGTGTAAATGGTGGGGACCTCCTTTCTCGCTCCTATCAAATCAAAGGGGGTATAGCTTAGTCAATCACTTTTAACAGCAGAGGTGGGTAGAAACTAGTTACATTTACTTAGTTACATGTACTTAAGCAAAATAGATTTTCTGAGTATTACTGTACTTTTCTGAGTAACAATGACTTTTACTTACACTCAAGTATATCTTGAGAATTTTTTTTTCTCAGTTACACTTCAACCATTCACTTCAGCAATACCCATTCACTTCAGAATTATTGCGAACACTTGTCACTTTTGAGCTAAGTATTTTTTAGACTTTTTAGAAAAGGCTAGGCTACTTCTGCTTGAATCATTATTTCACTAAAATAACATAACTTAAATATGGTTTTGGCTCATCTACCATTTTTGTTGACCAGAAACATAATTGGCTATGGAAGGATTTTAAAATGGCTTCCGATCTGTATGTATCACAATAAAAGTAATAAAACTTACTCTACTCGATGATGATCAATTTGTTTAATTAAATGTCAGAACAAATCAAACAAATCAAGCAAACCAATGCCTGGCTCAACCTATCAAAAATATCTTGCGCCGTACATGTGACAAAATAAAACGCGTCAATATTGCTAATATGCCATTATTAGCTGCAGCTCATGAACGATACAAGCCTCTGTCAAGAGTCCAATATTAAAACAGGCAGATTATGTGGACAGTACACCACTGTTCTGCACTAAGAAAAGCATGCTCCAGTGTTGAATTCTCATTTGGTGCAGACCATCAGTTTGCTTGGAAGTGGACTATGACCTGTTGTTGGGTACGGGTGGAGTGTTTACACAGCGAAACAAACTGAACTTAAGAAAAAGTTTGACTGCTCCACACCAAACAAGGTGTGAAAGCACCCATAAAGGTATGAGCAAGAAACACCAACTCATGGGTTTAGAAATTAAGTACATTGTCACACAGTCTGGAAACTTTCAAAGTGTTACTCTGGTGACAGGTAAAAAACTATATCACAGCCCACTCTGAGCTCTATGTGATGGTTTAAAACAATAGTCAGTCTTGGTTTAGTAAGATGTAGAGTGAATGGATCCAACCTCAAGTTCAAGTATGCGAAACTCAAGAAGCTCATTCTGGTCTTTAGAGTCCTGTAGCTCTTGCTGCAGACGTGCATTCTCGCCATCCATCTTCTCCACCTGCGAAAGACGCATTGAAAGCAACATAGCATTGAACATTGAACCAAGAACTGACTTGAACCCACTCTAGACACATTCATGTTTTTAAGTATTTTGGTGCTTAAAGTTTGTTCCACTGACAAAATGTCACTTGTAACCTCACTGTAGGTCAGATAATTTTAAAATATGCACTGCTATTGCAATACTCATTCTGGAGAACTACAAGGCAAAGTTCCCTTTAGCCTTGCTGTTATAGCAAGGTAATTTTTTCCTAACATAACCTCATCTCTCCTCCTCCCCATTTGATCTAACAATACTGATCCTATAATATTTTGTGAGAAGGGAAAAAACCCATGCACAAACCTTCTCCAGGAGCTCCTGATTCCGCCTGAGAAACAACTGTTTCTCCTCTACCCATTTTGAGTCCTTTGAGAGAGAGGGAAAGTAACAGAATAAGGAGCATTCCATGGAGGCTTGAACAAAAAATGTTTTCCATCATAACCAAATCTAATTACAGATCCATTTGCTATTGTAGGCAGCAGGACAGACAGACCCTTGATTATGCATGTGGGTTAGGCATCTTCTCATACAGTACTATCTCTAGTGCAATATACTGTTCCACTTTACTTATTTTTTAATGCTCTATAAAATATAGATTTGCTGAACTTGCCAAGTATTTGAGCAGGGATGACCCTAGTAAACCACTAGAAAATCAATATCACCCCCTGAGCTCTGTCAAACCATGCTCCAGTTGTGATCACAATGACAGGCCTTTAATGAATCTCTATGTCACCTCAATCAACCAGACATATGTCTAAATTGGTTCTGAGTGTGTACTATGTACAAATTTAAAATATTAAAAAAAGAACCTCAGAGATTAAGTGTTGATTACATCCCATTAAGGCCATCGTGACTTAGACATAGTTAGATAAGGTAAAAAAAGCTGACAGAACATAGACTTGGTTAAGGCCCATTACACTATGCATAATTACACTTATGAATAACTGATCATTCTTTGCCTATTTATGAACAATTGTGGGCTTTGAATGAGAACTACTAACTTGTCCTTTGAGTGTGAGCTCTTTCTCTAGGTCTTCAATTTTGGCCTTATATCTCTGCACATCAGCATGGAGCTGTTCATGAGCCTGTAAAAATACAACAGTAAAATTAAATACAATACAACGCAGAGAAAGTACAGAAGGTATGTCACAAAAAACAGCTGTCAACAACCTGAAGCAGCATCTAAATGCCTTCAAGATCAAATGTAAGTGCATAAAATGAAACTCATATAAACCAAACGCTTATAAAATCACAATGTACAAAAAGCTTAATAATGGCCAGGAAAGAGGTGTTTCTTGACAATCTCCAAAGGCTTTGACTTTATAAATTAATCACAGTTCATCAGTCATCATTTGCAAAATACTGATGTCCCTTGAGACATTTTCAGGGTTACCTTGGCCTCCATCTCAGCATCCAGAACACCCCCCTTCTGCTCCTGCAGCAGGGCATAGGCTCTCTGTAGGGCTTGGTACTCCCGTGTCAGCTGCCTGAACCGAAGCTCTGACTCCTCGGCAGCCAGCCCCTACAGAAACAACCAGAGACTCAGGAGTCAGCCAGTGAGGAGGGGGGATGGGAGCTGTAAAGTCAGAATGAAATAGCCAGCTTATGCAAGGAACATGAAAAGATAAAGCACAAGATGGGAAAAATGGAAGTGGAGAAGAAGAGCAGTGTAGGGTGAGAAGATTAATTAAGAATAAAGTGGGAGTATTTCAATAAAAAGAAAGAACGGACAAATGGACAAAGTGGGAAAAACCAAAAGAGAAGATAAAATCAATACAGCACAATAAGAAGAAAGAACACAACATGGAGAGCATTTTTCTGGACCATCTAATACTATCTGCAGTATCTGCTAGCCCCATCACCCTCAATGATTCTAACGCACATCTTAAATCTCACCTCATCTAAGTCCTCATCTGGTGTTGCTGGAGTTCGATCCATTCGTAAAGAAGCTACAGAGGAGGTCTCAGAGTCCATTGACTCCTCATCATACCCAAAGAATGTGTCCACAACAATATGCCTCTGTACAGGAGGTGCACAGTTTAGATCACATGGATATAACATAGCCTAGATTCCCCCATGGAATCCATGGGATACTCCATGGAAAATTAGAACTCATTGCCATCATACCTTGACTGGTCTACTTCGTTTATGCCGCTTCTTCCTCAGTAGCTTTTCTCTATCCTACAACATGGACAATCAGTAATATCAGTTACACAACACCAAGGCATCATAAAATAATATTATAAACACACTGCAAGGTTATCATGAAAGCAAGAAAGAACGAAAAAGAAAAAAGTGCCTTTTGACAGTGTTTATGATCATATAGAAGCACGTCATCTTTCAAGAGTTTGAATGGCTTTTCAGTGTACATCACACAAAGAAAGCATTAAAAGACAGGCAAGTAAGTATGAAGAGCATGTAACGTGGCAAAACAACCAATGGTTCAATACAATTTCCTACTCACTCTAGTCAGCTCGTCAATCATGCTCTGCTGCTCTAGAACCTGCAGTTTGAGGAATTCAATCTCTTGGTCATCTTGAGCCTGATCCAAGTCATTCAAGGACTTTAGCTTCTTCAGTGGTGGATGAGAACTAATTTTCTCTTTCTGAAAAGAAAAAAGAGAAATAGACTGAATGACCACAGTTCCTGTCTAAAATTCTTATCATTAACGTTTATTAGTTGTGCACATTTATGCTTTTGGGATACCAGCCATTCCATTGTATCGGTGAAACCTGTATTATCTAAGATGCAGAGGTGGAAAATAGTCAAGAAACTTTACTGCATTCCTTTCCTTTTTACTTCTTACATTTTCATTTAGACTTAAAAGCACTCATTACAAATCTAAAAAGCCTCTTTTTTTCTCCAAACTCTTGTGCACTTGAATGTATTGTTTTTATTAAAACATCCAACCAAATTCATATCAGTGGAAACTGTCCACAACTATGCTAATTTGTCTTTGTGCAAGGACTAGTACCACCGATTAGTCACCTCACCACACCACCACATTATACATCACCAAAGAAAACCTTTAATTTAGTAGTTAAACCATTCACTCTTTTACTTTAATATTCATGAGTATGTTTAAATGTATATACTTTTTTACATTCACTGAAGTATATTTTTGATTCTGTACTTGCTTGTTTGAGTAAGATTTTGACAATGTACAGATACTCTATATAATTTATCTGTATAATTTCTCTGTAGTTTTTCCACCCCCTGCTAATATGTTCCATTTAACCAAGGTTTGATTGCTGAAAGAGTATACAGATATGGAAGAAGTTAGCGGTGACTTGGCGAAGAAAAAGATGGCACCTACCATCTCTAGGTTCTCCTTGGTCAGGCTCTTGAGCTTCTCCTCCATGCGCTGGAGAGAGTGAGTAAGCTCATCATTCTTCTTATTCAACAGCTTGTTTTTCTCCAGCAGTGGCTTACATTGTTTCTCTGCCTCTCGCACTCGCTTTAGCTGAGAAGGAGAGCGCAAGGGAGAGAGAGAGAGAGAGAGAGAGAGAAGAGTAGAGAGCAAAAAGAAGTATTGTGAAGTACAGCAATGCTAAATTGCAGAAAAATGATAAAAGTTAAAATAACAAACAAAAAAGTGTCAACTTAATGGACTTTTTAGTAATGAAAACCCAGAAAGGGCCTATAAGGGTTCCAGAAGAATAAGCACTCTTCAGGTCATTACTCCCTTGCTTCCATGCCCTCTCATTTATCAGTTCCATTTTACGAATTTTACACACCAACTCATTTCTTTCTTCAACCAGTAGTGCATTACGGTCCTCTAGCTTGCGGATGCTGGAGTTCAGTTCAGCAATGCGTCTCTGGTTCCTCCTCATATCCTATACAGATGACAAAGCAAACACATAATTGTTGTTTTATACTTGTGTGGCAGAAGTTCAGGACTGATGAGACTATTCTAGTTTCCTATAATCCCTATACAGTACATACTGATCTATTACTGTTCCTATCAGAAAAAATATTTAAATTCCAAACCTGATGAAAAGAGCATTTATATGTGACACACATGAGAATATAGAGCTACTTTTTTACTGTCTTTCTTAAGATAAGGACTTTCTGCAATGGGCAATGACAGGTGTTTATTGTTTCCTTACTGGGCTCCCACAGTGCTCTGCCCCATCACCAGCTCGTCCTGGGATCTCTCTTTTAGGGCTGCCCAGGTTACATTCTGCCTCCTTCACAAGGAACAGCTGCTCATCTAGCGCATCCTTCTGAAGCTGCAACTTCTGCAGGAATCCTGTAGTGGTCTCCAACTCTTTCTCCAGGGAGAAAATCGTTCTGTCCTTCGCTTTAATTTCATCCACCTGGAATATTGAACACAGATCACACTGAAGTCTCTCGTTCACCACTGCCGGATAAGAACATTTTTTGCTAATTATTCCTGATGACATGTTTCATAGTCTATAAACAGTAAGAGATTAAGAATAAAAACCTTCAGTTCAGCATAGTACAATTTACTGTGAATTAGAAAACTGAACAAATCTTTACCGTGTAGCTGAACACACAGGGTAGCTGTTGTACATGGTATTGTGTTGTGATGCAGGCATATGGACAACAGATTACATTAATTAATTCCATTGTTTCTATTTATAAGTATGTATCGTTACTTAAACCAATTTAAGAAACAAAACTCTTAACTATGATTTGTAGCATTTATCTGCATGACATGTGCATGCAAAGGGGAGTTGGAATTCGGTAGAATTAAATGGGTCCCACCTAAATGGGTGCTCACTATGTTCAGCTACACAGGAGTGGGCTGAGAGAAGTTTTGGGCATGTATTTAGAAAAAAAAATTGGACAACTATTGACTATTCTAGTGTTTGTTAGTAATGCTAGACTCATAGTTCCATTCCTTTAAGCTGTGTGTGACAACTGTTTGAGTGAGAAAAATGCACTGAAAATCTAGTGTCGCTCATGAGTTGAGTAATTTGAGTAATCAGTAGTGATTTAATACAGCTCCTTGTCTGTTTTAAGTATTTCCACATTAACCACTAGAAGAGGAAAGGAGAAAAGACTTAATTTCTCCAAACAAATTGTGCAGGTGATCTTTTAAGCAGTCTGCAGACAAAGAGCTGTAGCGTGGAACCTGGTTACCACTCGTATTTGCAGTCAGTGACGTATCTAGCACTTTTTTCCTCATGAAATTGTTCCCAGCCATTAGAAAATCAAAATGTGCCACTTATAATAATAATGCAGGTGTAAGGCCTTCAATCCAGCTCCTGAAGGACTAACCAATGGCTGAGATAGCTTGGCTGCATCTACCTAGATACCATGGTGAAAAACATCCTGATTGATTTTAACTGTGATTTGTTAACTGTACAAAGAAAATATTTCAAATGTTTTCAGTGACCAATTTAACTGTATTTTGTAAATATAAACAAATTTAGAATTTGATGACTGCAAAACACTCAAAAAAAGTTGGGACAGAGGCATGTTTACCACTGTGGTACATTACTTTTGCTTTTATTACACTTTTTGATCATTTGGGAACTGAAGATACTAACTGTTGCAGTTTTGCAAGTGGAATTTTGCCCATTCTTGCTTGATATAAGACTTTAGCTGCTCAACAGTCCATGGTCGGCGTTGTCTTATTCTCCTGTTCATGATGCACCATACATTTTCAATAGGAGGTAGATCTGGTCTGCAGACAGACCAGTAAAGCAGTCTCCCATGCCGTGGGCACTGATGCACCCCATACCATGGCAGATGTTGGCTTTTGCACCTTTTGCAAAACAAGTGACCACAGCACACATTTCCACTGTCATTTAGACCATCTGAGATGGTCCAGAGAACTCTGCATAGAATTGCATTTTGCATTTTGAATTAATATATGGCATCTCCTTGCTTAAGAGTTTCAAGTTGCATTTTTTTGACGCAGGGGACTGTGTATAAATGCAGCCATATTTAACAGAGTAGCATGACAGTTTCTCCTGTAACACCACCTGAGGGCAGAAAGGTCATACACATTCCACAGGGGTTTCTGGCATTGCCCTTCACGAATTGAGATTTCCTGAAATCTTTTCACAATATTGTATGGTAGATGGTGTGTTCACAATTAAGGGGATAAAATTACATCAAATCACTGTTTCACAATTCTCTCACAAAGTTTGACACAAAGTGGTGAGCCATGACCCATCTTTGCTTCATTTATTCATTTATTCCATTTATTCTAGACAATCTCACCTGTTACCAATTCACCTGCTTATGTGGAATGTTTCAAAACCGTGTGCCTTGAATATTCTACACAATTTTCACTCTTATTTTTGCCCTGCCCCAACTTTTCTGAGTGTGTTAAGGGATCAAAATGAAATTTTGTTTATATTTACAAAATACCATTAAGTTGGTCAGACAAAACATTAAATGTCAGTGCTATGAACTTTTGTCAGTTAAATAAACGTTCAAGACGATTAACAAGTCAGATTTCCTATTTGTATTGCATTTTACAAAATGTCCCAACTTTTCTGAAAATGGGATTTGTACTTACAGACTTTAAATACAACAAGCATGATGATTCTACTAAATAAAATTTCAAATAAAAATTACAAATAGTATTTCTTAGTTCCCAGAAGCCCAGAAGTCCCTGAGGGCTTTTTTTACAGTACAGATATCTCACTATGCAATAAAGAATATAAGCATACAAACATAGGAGTCATGCAACACTTCTTAAGACGCTGCAGAAATTATCATTTAAATACTGCAACATGACAGTGTTTCTCTTCACACCATGATGTGCAAATTTGTCTTCTGCCATGCGAATGTATGATGAAAATTACATAAATGCTTCAATTATCTTTTTATGTTGTAATGTAAAGCCTACTATAAAAATTGCACAGTCCTGGCACTCATAGACGCTTGATGGTATTAGATGCAATCGATATTAGCAGTGGCATCAGAACTCACCAGTCGTCGAATATCTCGTTCGCAGTCCCACTTGATCTTGCTGATCTGCTCCTGGTGTGCTTGGTGCTCAGTGCGCAGGTCACCAGCCTTCATCTTGTCAGCCTGGATCATTGTGTTGAGAGCCTCATCCGTCTGTCGCTTGGATGCCTTCAGCTCGGCTATCTCCTGTAGTAGTTTGACGCGCTCCTGGTCGAAGAAGCGCCGCGCTTCCTCTCGGGCCTCCAGTGTTAGGGCTGTCCGCACCTTTTCCCCACTACCATCACGCAGGGCGCTGAGTGCTGTGCGCAGTCGCTGGATCTCGCCGTCTTTGATCTTAGCTGTGCGTGCCAGCTCCTGCTCGTGCTGCCGTGTGAGCGACTCCCGCAGCGCAGCTAGCTCCTTGAGTTTCTCTTCGTGCCATCGTGCCCGCTGCTCGGTTAGCGCTGCTGTGTGCCGATGCTGCTCCTGTTCGCGAATGCGTTTGCCTTCCTGCACCTTGTCTCTTTCCAGCTTGTTCACCTGAAGAGAACGGAATAGTAATTATTTAGTTAATAAAGAAAGGCGTGATGATATCCTAACTAGAGCTGTCACAATCACTAGATTAAATCCGTTATAAAATCGATTACAAAAATTAATTTCTTAAAACTTATTGTTGATATATCAGATTAGTAATTAGTCTGCAATTTGAATGATAAACAGGCTGTCTGTAGGTCATAATTATTCTGTGTTAGGCAGGCTGAAGATTCTCCACAAGGGGGACTTTCAAGTCACTTCTATGAGTGTTACTGGAAAAAAGAAGAAACCAGATCAGCAGGATCCTGAATGGATAGTTACAAATTGCATTTACATAAAGTACAATTAAATGTTTGCTGTTAGAAATTGCATGTAGATAAAGCAAAAGTGTACATGAAGTTAAAGGTTTTGCTTAATTAGGTCAATTCGGCAGACAGCTAAGTTGTGCCCTGTGCCAACTTTTAACCATTAAACATAAAAGTGCTCATGAAAGTAACAAAAAATCTTTCCAAAATAAAAAAAAAAATGTAAAAATTTAAAAACTGCAAACCCACCTTGCATTTTTCCTGGTGCAGCTCAATTTGAATGTCAGTTAGTTTGGACCTGAGATCTTCGTTGGCTGCCTGTAAGGCGGAGATGAGGGCTTCAGGCTTTTCGCCCTTAGGGCGCCCTTTCTTTGCCATTGGATCAAGTGCTACAAGTCTTCAAATACTCTCACTTCTCCATTGTTTGAACACATTAAAATGAGGTTTCCAATTTCGTCTTTTCCTCATTGTTCTGGCAGACAGAACACCTGTAGAATAAGGATGAGAACAGAAATTAACAAGCAAACATTTAAAACTATGCAAACCCCTCTGTTTCTCCCCACCTTTCCAGTTTCAGCTACTTCAGACTCTTGTTGATTTCATGTTGTTTCAGTGCAAGAGAACCATGACTTCAAAACATTTTCATATGTGATGTTCTGTTAATTTTTCTGTTTAAAAACAGAAAATGCACAGACTATGAGCATTTGTTTTATCGTTCTTTTTTATTTAAAATTTAAATTCACAATATGAAAACAGACAATGCAGAACAAAACATCACCATTTCAAGGTATTTCAACATTACAACTGTGACTAGGCATTGCTTCTTGTCATCAAAGAAGAAAAGAAATGCTAAAAGCACTAAAGTTAATTTTACAAACATATGTTGATTGTAATACATGTTGGATGCAATGATATCAGAGCTTAAAGCACAGAACTGTTAAAAAGAGACTTGCTTATTATTTTCTATAAAAGAATGTGGGAAATCTGTTTTTATTTCTGGCCCAATGCAGTCCCTGGGTATAGGTGCAGGCCATTTTAGTCGCATTTTAAATCGTCATATCTGGCTCCAAAAAAACTGCCTCTGCACTGGCTTGACTTTTATTGACAATTCTAACCTCTTCTGGAATCAGCCATCATTCTTCAGATATGATGGAATTCATCCGTTTCGCAGATTTTAAGACATAAATTCTAGATGATGACGCAACACTAAAGGTATTTGTTCAAATATTCCAGTGGTCATTGGTAGTAGGCCTAGGACCAGCTTTTTTATGTAAGCACAAAAGAAATGTTGAGAAACAGACAGATTTAATGGTTTTATAAATACAATACAAATACAAACATCTGATTTGCATTAAGCCTTTGTCTCTACCTGTGTACCAGCCAAAACCTTCTGTAAATCCTATAAAGGCTTTTACGAGTTTTAGAAGAAAAAGTTCAAGAATAATTCTTTTAAATATTAGAAGTTTACCTCAAAGGGATAAAATGAATCAACTGAAAAGTTTGATTGCAAAGTCTGATCCAGATATATAACAATCTTAATAAAGATGTGGCTTAGGCACCCCATAAGTGATGCAGATGTAGCTTTAAATAACTTCACTCTATATAGAATTGATAGAGAATCAAGAGGAGTTGGAGTAGCTGTTTTTATAAGAACAAACATCTAAGCTAAATTACTAATCACAGTTTTGAAAGAAAAGTGTTTTGGGTTTCTTGCTTTGAAGGTGGGCCTAGGGAAAATTACTCTTTTGGCCCAAACCCATTTCACCCCTTGCCCCTACCACTTAGTCCTTAGTCCTCTGTTTTGCACATTCATGTCTAGGGTTAGGGTGTCCCAATTTTTGTTGAGATAGAGGGGTAGGGCGAAGTGTTAGGGCTACATGGCCCTCCAAACGGAGGTTTTTTTTAGAGGCACACTCCAAACGGAGTGTTACGAGAAAAAAAAAACGGCAAGTTGGCTGTGCGAGCGACCAAAGAAACCCACAAAAGTGAGTATTTTCTCCGTTACAAAAAATATGATAACCATTGTATTATCTTAGTTTAATGTCGTTTCAATATATTATGGTCATTTTCTTCGTAACAAACAAAAAACCGCTAATAGTATGCTAATGTCTCGGTAGCTAGCTAGCTAACTTTCCCGTTCCACCCTATATAGTCCAGCAGTATTGATGCTTGAAGCGCCAGAATGTAACTGCTGCACCATTTAAGGTGGAATGGGAAAATTCGAACGAGAAGCTGGTGAATAGCGGACTTCAGCTTCGGGGTGGGAGATAATAAATAATTGTCTTATACCCCTCTTTGAAAGCATTTGATGTGCTAAATGTAACTAAATCCCAGCAGTGAGGTTGCTGAACAATGTATTTGTTGTATAATTAGCCTTTTTTATTGATGAATATTGTTAAAATATTCTACTGTCTGTAATGTTTTTTATATGAAACTTTAGTTGCACAAAAAAAAAAATTCCACTGATGCCCAATACTTGTAAGCTCATAACTAGAATTACCCTAGCCACCAAACTGGTTGACTTGCATATCCACTTCCTAAATAGGTCAACTAAAAAAAAAAATGGCTAAATGTGGAGCCAATGTATCTTTTAGTCTAAAAACAGCAATATAATTAAGCGTAATAATAATCCAATCATAAGTCTTTGCTTAGAGATGTACTTACATAGTCAGTTTAGGTGGTTTACTTAATGGAAAACCAAGTTCTTATTCATATCCAGGTTCAATTCCATCACAAGTGAAATAACTTTGATAGACGGCATACATCTTGTACAGGTTTGAGGCGAGTTCTTGTTATACTGTTTATTTACAGTGTTTTAAACTAAATTCATAAACGGATTTACAGGCATTCACTCATCTCAAAGGAATCAGCTAAACTGTTTAGCTAGCCGGCTATCTCTGTCTCTGTTTCCCAGCTCCGCAGCAGCTAAACAAATGACTGAGGACGCGCTTGGCTTCTTCATCTGAATGTAGTTCAACAGGCAAAACTACAGTCAAATAAAATAATGCATTTTATTGTTCTCTTTGTTTTTGTCTTTTCACATGTAATATCTTTCAGTAACTTTAGCTTTAATGGGTGACACTGCAAAATCAGAAAGGACAGCTGGCTATGTTCAGGATTTAACAAAGATTGTCTGGTGTGATGTGAATATTTATAGCCTAATATCATGTCCATTGTTAAGTTATTATCATTTGTCCTGGTTGACAAAATGTTTCATTTAAAATAGTAAAAAATAAGCCACAAACTTTGAAAATTGTCAGAAACCCACAATAGTGTTCTAGAATTCTTGTGGAGTCTAAAGGGTCAACAAAAGACACAGTCCCAAATACCAAATAAAAAAAAATCAAATTCAATATGATGAACCAATGCGCAAGTATTTGAATTCCAACCAACAGTATAGCTGCACGTTGCCTTGGCAACATGTGCAGTGTGCAGCAATCTCCCACACACATGCTGCATAGTGGAGGGACACACATCACGTCCTCCAAGCTGCTGATTTCAAGCAGTTAAGAGCCCATGCTAGCTTCGCTGACAAAGCAAACAGCAACCATTGAAACTCACATGGACCTCTGAGTTCCTAGATTCATTAAAAATGTTATTTATGATAATGTGTTATTTCAATAAAAAAATGCAATATATAGGATTTCTCTATTGTTGGTTATTGTAGTTTTAATAAATAAGTAATATCCAAAAATCCAAAACAGTTAATAACTCTAAGAAAAAAAACTGAACAGATTTCATAGGACCCTAAACTCTAAAACTTTGTCTTCTTCTCTTTACATAACCTGTTTATAATCAGGGTGACATAACAGTGATTAAGAGATTACTCTGAAAGATTGCAGAAGCGTTGCACGTGTGTCTTGTGTTTCCAGCACAGAAGTTCTAGAGCCAATCTCTACCCAGCAGTCAAGGATGGTTAGCACACCTTTAGAAGTCTGTCTGGCCATTCTCATACTGTATGTAAAGTTGCAGAGCGACCACTCTGCTGACTCAATAACTACAGAGTTCCAAACCTCCTCTGGCGTTAACATCAGCACAAAAACTGTGGCATGGGTTTCCATGAATGAGCAGCTGCATGCAAGCCTTACATCACCAAGCACAGTGCCAAGCATCGTACAGAGTGGTGTAAAGCACACCGTCACTGGACTCTGGAGAAGTGGAAATGTATTTTGTTCACAACTTTTCTTGCTTCACCATTACCTCTACCTTTTCCTGCTTCACCATTACCTCCAACTTGTTGCGTATTCATACAAATCTGGAATCCTGAAATGTAAGTGATTTTTAAGTAAGTGATTTTTAAGTAAGACTCCTGGTAATGTGAACATAGCCAATGTATTTGGCTATGTTCACATTACCAGGGTGAAGTGGCACAAATCCGACTCTCGTTATTAGATGACAAACATGAGCGGAATTATTTTGTCAAATCTGAGCACAATATGCAAGTTCATTCACATTAATGACAGATACGAGTCACTTACACCCACATGAATATGAACCATTAGGCCAAAAAGATCAGATCTGAGCAAACAATCGGAACTGAACAATAAAGCTTGTAATGTGAACATAGTCTATGAATTGGATTTGTTGGGTCACTCATGACTATTACAAAAAGAACTGACAGAAAACCAGACACTAAGCCATGGCTCAGACTAGCTTTCTGTTCATAGCAACACTGCAGTCTACCTAGGCAATGTCTGGGGCCACATCTGGACATGAATGTGGACTGGGCCCTGTCACACACAGGCCACTGCCACTAATGCTGTATTAACCCAGAAAAGCCTGGAGATGCATGAGCCAGTGGATGCCAAAAGTGAAATTTTATTTGTGCGTTCCCTAATCTGATTGCAGTTCCCCAAATCCTCTCCCCCTCCTTGCCTCGTGGACATAACGATTTGGCCGTTGTTGAGGTCTGTTATGGCTGCACTGTCCCTTACTCAAAGCATGGACATTCCTCCTATGTCCATTTCTGTCTTTGGATGTGAATTTTAGCAAGTGTTTGCCGCTGCTAAGCAAGTGGATGTAGCAAGTGTCATCCTAACAATGGCTGAACTCTGAAGAGTCACATTTACTGTATGTTAATCCATGTGCTTTGCTTCGTAGTAAAAGTAGTTTTAGATGTTCACTCTAAGCTAGGGCTGCCCAAACCTGCTCAACCACATGTAACAAAACTTACCATTCATTCAACAGTACGTAAAAGTCATAGAAGAAAACATAAGCAAAACCAGCCTGGTTTTAAATTATTGTTTTTATGATGCACTTATAATAAACACATTTTCATATATCTGTCTATTCAGCCTACAACTCCCATTCACTTTGAAGTTATAAGGAATGTTTTAGCCCAGACTACTTTTTGAATGAGGCACAATACAAAGCATTCTGTCCGTTGTGAACGTTTCCAGGCAGATGTCGCCTCATGTTGGGAAAAAAAGATATGTGACCGCTGCTACTTGCCTCATTTGCTCTTCTAGCACGTATATCTGTTTATCAC